TGTGTGTGTGTATATATATATATATATATATATATATACACACACACATACACACAGTTGTATACATACCTCAGAAACTTAAACACAAGCTTGTTTTGAGCAGAATTTACATCTTATATATATATATATAGTATCAGTTATTACTACTGTTAACAAAATGTTTATTTTCAAATTTCTTATAACCATGTGATCCTGTTTAACTGTTTTGAAAACCTCTCTCCTATTACCACTAGTTTTGTTTTTCTGTCTTGAGTATTTTAAATAGAAACCTTATTTAATATCCATTTTGTTAAATCAAGAAGAGAACCTATTTAACTGTTTTGAAAACCTCTCATATTACTCCTAGTTTGTTTGTTGTTGTTTTTTTTCTGGGAAGTCTGTGTTACTGTCATGAGTATTTTAGATAGAAACCTTATTTAATATCCATTTTGTTAAATCAAGAAGAGATCCTATTTAACTGTTTTGAAAACCTCTCATATTACTCCTAGTTTGTTTGTTGTTTTATTTTTCTGGGAAGTCTGTGTTTCTGTCTTGAGTATTTTAGATAGAAAACTTATTTAATATCCATTTTGTTAAATCAAGAAGAGAACCTATTTAACTGTTTTGAAAACCTCTCATATTACTCCTAGTTTGTTTGTTGTTGTTTTTTCTGGGAAGTCTGTGTTACTGTCATGAGTATTTTAAATAGAAACCTTATTTAATATCCTTTTTTTAAATCAGGAAGAGATATCTCCTGAATGTAAATTAAGTATACAGTAATTCACAGAATAATTCCTAACAGGGAGCACTAGTTAAAAGTCTTTGTTTGAAACAGCTGGTCTAATTAGCTTAATTTTGTCCATTTCTAAAAAGAAATGAACAGTAATAATGATATATAAGTACATTTTCTTAACTCTATCCCTGCTCAACAATTAGCCTTGTAAACTAGTTTAGAAAAAATAATTAACTTTTTATGAACCAGTTTATTAAAAAAAAATAGAAATAGTAATATCAGGTGATAAGTTTGTTTTATATGTCCACATAAAATACATTTCATATTTAAAAACTGCTTGCTTGTCGAGAGACCATGAAAATTGATATATATATATCCACTGATAATGGTGGTTAATGCAGTTTTTTTAAACTGGTGTTGCTAAATACTTTTAAAATATTTAAGGAAGTTAGCTTTTTACTGTAATATAAAACAGCACATTAGGTCATGTTTAGACGTTTCTATATCTTTAATGTGTCAGTTCATAAATAATGTTTTTTATTACATAATTATGAGCAAAAACAAAAAAGTAGTCCTTGGGGTGTTAAGTCAGATAAATTTGAGAATTAGGATTTCAGAGATAGTCTCGTACATGTCAATAATCTGTATAATGTCTTCAGGAAGTTTCAAACTGAGTGGTGTGATGTTTAGGGAGAAGTAGAACATTACATTTTTCAAAGATATTGTGTATGTATCAGTATCAAGATACATTATTATTATATCACAGAATTTAGGAAAAAGACAATAATGGCGAAACCATGGTCGTTAATAAATGAAGTATTTATGAAATGTACAGTTGTCTTTTTTTCCCCTAAATGTTGTAATTATGGTGTTTCACCAAGTACCGACAGTTTTAAGTGTCTTTGATTCTTATGTTTGCTTTAAAATACGAAATTCGGTGTATACTGTATTTATACACAGTATGTGTTCTCTAGTGTGCAGAAACCATGCCATATAATTTCTTTCATAAACACCCTTGCTTAGTGTCAGTGATACTTTTTACAGCATGTTTCACAGCTCTTGTTCGTTATGGGTGAATCATTTTCTTTTATTACACTTTGCTTTTACGCATTACCCAATTTGACAGTCTGTTACATGCGTGGAAATCCACTTAGATCTGATGAGATATAAATCTCCATTCTGATATAAGAATATAATAGAAGAATCGTATATTAGATGAAAAATATTAGTTTAAAATGTTTAGTAGCTTTTGTTTCACTTCTGTTCTCTACCATCAGAAAACGGGTCACCAACAAGAATGTGGTCATATCCTCCTACAAATGTCCGCATTCATCTACGTGTAGACGTGATGTGTTTGTATTCGTTAGAGCAAGTTTGGCTTGTGGTAGTGATAAAGAAAGTTAAGTGTTTAGCACGCACAGACCAGTTCTGAAGGTCGCACTTCTTAACCAAATACAATAGACATTGCAACAACTTGCTTTGTCATAACCTTCAGGAATATTGTTAAAAGCATGCAAAGACCACAACAATGGTATCGTGTCGATGTACAATTGTGAAATAATAACACTGAATTGTGTTGTACGTTTAGCAGTTTAAACTAATAAATAATAAAACAATAAGACATTGTGTATGTTATTGTGAATATTACTTGCTACAAGTAAATGGAAAATTCAATAGTAACTTACCCGCATTCGTTTGAGTTAAGTCAGTGATGTAATATTTGTATGCGAACCCGTCTTTTATAAGGTACTCAAAGCTATGTTCTCTGTAAAAAATATAGTTATAATTACGTTCGTTAAAAATAATACATATAATTTTCTAATGTTTTCCATTTAACTTTCCTCTTTGAAGTTTTACATTATTTATACGCTGTCTTCATATTGCTAAACTGATGCTGTTATTTTCATTATGATGCACATCCGTGTTCAAAGGTCATCAGGGTATAGATAGTGCACGTATATTACACAGTAGCACTGATAACACGTATTTAGACGTTTTGAAGACAAACCCGAGAGGCAGCATCGTGGTAGACGTAATTTATCAGATTTGTAGTGTGGGTAAACAATGACAGAGAAACGAATTACACGAGAACAGGTTTATGGTTATTTCCACCATATTTTATTGTTATTTAAGCTGTAAGCCAGTTTTTACCAAAATGCTTAACCACGTTATGATTCTGAAATATATATATAACTTGCAATGGTCGAAGACACAACTGATTATTCTAAATTTTAAAGAAATATGCACATACATTATCCGCTATGCTTCATTTAAAATATATCAAGACATGAACCTTATTCATCGCCCCCCCCCCCATTGGCACAGCGGTATGTCTGCGGACGTACAACGCTAGAATTCGGGTTTGGAAACCCGTGGTGGGCAGAGCACAGATAGGCCATTGTGTAGCTTTGTGCTTAACGTA